GTCTTATTTTTTAAATTAACATTTAGAATTTGCATTTTAACAAAATATTTTTCGAGTTTATCGAGGGCTTGCAACAAATACCACAGAGTAAGACGTTGCAATTTTAAAAACAATTTGAAACTTGGGTTTAGTTTAGGAGATCTGATCAGCTGGCTGACAATTATTATTATTATGCTGGTGGTCCTATTTTGGGACTTGACAGTACGTTTGGCACCCACTGATCTCTCATTTTGCTTGTTTGTTTGTTTGTTTTGTTTATTTTGTTTCTTTGGGAGTTTTTTGTTGTTGTTTTAGTAAGTGTTTTATGGCACTTGCAACACAATAAGGTCATTATAAGTGTCGAAGATTAGAGGTGTAACAAACACAAAAAAGAAAGACAATATATGTTTGATAGGAAAGAAGAAGCAGACCACACCAGAGCACCCGCCAACCTCCAATTGTTTTGTGGGGGTTTTTGTTGTTGTTGTTGGGTTGGTTTTTTTAGTAAAGAGAAGCACATCGACACAGTAATGGCTATTTGGTGCTGAAAAGTATGACAGACAGAAACATCTGTGGGGAAAGTGCAGAAGTAGGACGTGCCTGTGGCTCATATATTTGTGAATGCACATGTACATGTATGTGCCTTAACGTGAATAAATGTGGGTCAATATACAAGTGAATAAAGAAACAAAGTTTCAAAGAAACTTCCCATGAACAAGAAATTCGAAAACACATGTTCTGTTCGTAAGCAGGACTTTCTTCAAATATTATTGCATTTAAAATGTTCAATTTGTTTACAATGGGTATGGATGATAGGAACACAATAAAATTAATAGACCTGAGAAAGGTTCAACATATCTATACGTGAACACAATAAACCAATCAGCACGTCAGGTACATTTACAATAAATTTCACCTCCTTCACCCTTCGGCATTTTATGGAGAGAGCAAAACACCAGCTTTTCTTCTCTTTTTTTTGGGATATTGTTTTGTTTTGGGGGTGGGGTGTACTTCGTCCTTTCCAGTTTCAGTGCATGTACATGTATCAAGAAAGTTGAGCGACAAACAGCTCAGTCTGAAATATGCTCCAGGTTAGAAATAAATTAAAATCATCATTTACAAGCAGCTACAATTTTAGGTTAGAAAAGGTCTCCCCACTCGCCCCTTCCAGGGACACAAAGAATTAAACAGTTGTAGCTCTCGTTAACTTCCCATAAAGGGAACCGCTTAAACGTCTTTATACAATGGGATATGGACAATTTGGAACCCAACAAGTTCATATTTTTATTACTACTGTGATTGCTTTGCGCCTTATTAGTAAACATTACAGATATTTAGTCAATCGTATGATTTGGGATCAGGTACTAAAGCCATTATCATTATCACGTACTTGGCCTTTTAATACCTGACAAAATGAGAGGGGGGGAGAGAGAAAAACAGAGGAAAGAGAGAGAAGGGGGAGAAGAAAGAGAGAGAAGGGGGAGAAGAAAGAGAGAGAAGGGGGAGAAGAAAGAGAGAGAAGGGCTAGAAGAAAGAGAGAGAAGGGGGAGAAGAAAGAGAGAGAAGGGGGAGAAGAAAGAGAGAGAAGGGGGAGAAGAAAGAGAGAGAAGGGGGAGAAGAAAGAGAGAGAAGGGGGAGAAGAAAGAGAGAGATGGGTGGAGAAGAGAGAGAGAGAGAGAGAGAGAGAGAGAGAGAGAGAGAGAGAGAGGAGGGGGGGGGAGAGAATAGAAGACGAAATACAACCACTGAATGTTTAACAAGATTGTGAAATAGTTCTTGACAATAGTGTTGACCCACGGCCTGGTAGTGAAATACTGCGGACAATGACTGATGTTACGAGTATACGCCTGATCGTATGTTACTAGATCTACAAAAGTTTCGACAACTTGAATCAATATCGTGAACATAAAAACCTCAACTGGCAGTGAGTGAACGCATATCTCATCAACGATTATTTACATAAACACCATCTCACATCATCACTTACCACCATCATCTTATCTAAATTCATCATTGCTCTCAATTCCGGGGCATACGACTATTAAAGAATCTATATCTGTAACAATTACATCTTTTAATATTTATGTACGTAATACACTACTGAACACTATCTTACGCACTTTTTAAATTAATAAAATGGCGCCAATCTAATAGACATGGGTAAAGGACAAAAATAAATAAATAAATAAATAAGCAAATAGATAAAGAAATATCGTCAGTGTCATTCCACAATCGCTTGCATCGTTTCCTGGAAATGGAAAAGGGGTGGGGGATTTCTGATATAGCCGTTATTCAAAATAAGACATCAAGGAGCAGCGTGCAATGTGGTTTGGTTTTTCTCATTCACCATTCCTAGACTTTTTTTTGAAAATTGAAACCTAATGATTGTCCAAGTCATCGTTAAGATTTGTGCGCCCTCTTTATCAGTAATTTCTCCAAACCTTCGAAAAATGACTTAGACGTTTATGGAATTACGCTGACAATACAGGGTAAAGATATGAGAGGCCCGTCTATCTCAGAACTGCCTGAGTGCCCATAGACACATAACCAACATTCCAATACAAACTAGATAATAACAGGCACGTTGGCAGACCTTTCTTTAGTGAGAAAGTGATCCAAGGCCCATTTTTTCAACAGCCTTCTATCAAACTCGTCATGATTATCCCTGTCTTTGGGCAGCCCAGCCATGATCAGAACGTGCTGCGGCACAGGCATCTCCCCTCTGTCTGGGTCGGTGGAGAATCTCCTCATAAACTTCAACACGTCCGCGGATGTCGCTGGGTTCTCCGAGTGGGGTACGACGAAGGCGCAGATGTCCTGGTAACTGGTCCGGTTAGGAACGGGGACGGCCACTGCATGCAGGACGCCGGCACACTGTTTGATGGCCATCTCGACCAGGCGCGGGTACACGATGACCGAGTTGTGGAAGATGACGTCACACTTGCGGGCCTTGAATATGAGCCTGCCCATCCTGGAGAGGTACCCGAGATCGTTGGTACGGAACCAGCCGTCTGCGGTGAGGCTCTCTTCTCGTTCTTTCTCGATACTTTTCAGTTTACCGTCGTAGAAATTCGGGGACTTTACTTCAATGTGGCCCACTTGCTCTGGGCCGATGGTCAGTCCTTGGCTGTCTGTGATCCGGATTTGGACTCCGGTTTCCGGGACGCCACAATCACCGTCATTGTACAATAGAGCGTCGAAGAAGATCTGTTTGGAGATTATTCCTGTCTCCGCCGTCTGGTACACGTACAGGATCCCGCCCCACGAGGTGCCCAGAAGTTTTAGGGATTGCCAGGTCGTCAGGCTGAAGCCGGTCACCATACTCTCGTGGGTACCAAGGTAGGCGTTTGGGTTCCGGCTTACCGTCTCTGCCAAGAAATTTGGCGGGAACGGAAGAGTCATTCGTTTGTTACAAATGCTCTTCCAGTATCGAAGAAACGCTTTCTCTTGGTCTTCTTTAGACTCTGTCTCGTCGATAAAAGTCACAGACAATCCATAAATAAAGAATGGATAGGGAAAACCGCTCATTGAACCAAAAGGAGAGCTGTTGAAATAAGAGAGATACTCCTTTTTAAAATTAGTCAGACCACAAAAAGAATGTCCCAATGATATGAGGGAGCTATGCGACCGGGGTACCAGCTTTTTCTTACCAGTGTTGTTGCCCCTTGTTGTGAAAATGTACGCGAGTTGGTCGGCAGCAACCTCCGTATTGACAAAAGTGTACTCGAGTTTTTCAACTTTGGTCATAAACGCAGGCGTATCTTCCAAATGTTTATCTTGCCATACATCTAGTCTGGAAACTACGATTATTTTCCTAACCTCCGGAGCTTCGTCACAATTATACTCGTAGACGACGCCATGTACCACAGGCTTGCTTCCGATATTCTTCTCAATCAGAGACCATTCCTTGGAGTCCTTTCTCGGGTAAACGATGACAGCTTTGGCTTCTGACTGCTTGAGTAGCGAGTAGTAGCCGTCTGGGTTGGTCTCCGCGGGGTGTGTGTTCATGACAGTACCCCCGGCCAGGATGATACCTAAGTCTGTCACGACACGCTCCAGGCTGTTGGGGAGGGAGTTGGCGATCGTCTCGAAGGCGAGGCCGCTTTTCTTCAACATGTGGGAAAATCTGAGAAATATTTGGAAAAATGGACATGTTTTATCATTCTGTTCTTATCAGTTCCTTCAAAATGTATTTGTCAGTTTTGTTGAAAAGAAGCACATCAACGCAATAAGGGAAAAAGCTTGTGAGAGCGCAAGATATGAATTGTTTAAACAAAAGGAACAGTCATAATTTATTGAAGGGTGAAAAGCAAAATAGAGAGTCAGAAACAGTTGAGAGAAAGAAAAAAAAGCAGCACTTTTTAAAATTGTTTATTCTTCTTTAAAGGTGAAAAAGGGGGGGGGGGGGGTCAGTTTTTCGGGAGGGGGGCGGTAGTGGTTTTTTTGGAGGGGGGGGGGTGTTGTTCGGATTTTGTTTTGAGGGGTGGATGGGTGGGGGAGGGGGGGTGGGGTCAAAGAACAAACCGTTCAATTGATTAATGTTAATATCTTACATCCCCCCAAAAAAACCCAAAACCAAAACAAAACAACAAGAACCCCCCCAACAAAAACAAAAAAATCAATACAAAAATCAATACAAAATAAAAACGCGGCACGGGCAAAGCAGAGCTTACTTCGACGCCATCTGTAAAAGCTCCACTTTCGAGAGCTTCTTCTTGTCGGGCCCAGAGCTGACCTGGATGAAGGCGTCTGGATCGTCAGCCTCCTCCTTGGCCCACCACAACAGGCGCTTGACCACTGTGTCCGAGCAGCTGGTCAGAGGTGGGTTAGCCATGCCCCCTGTAGTGTCCGGGTGGGTCCCTCGTGCGTACGCCATGACCAGGCTGGTGCTGCTCCTTGAGAGGTCTGTGAAGGACAGAGTACATTACACGGAGAAAGAAAAAGAGAACCGCTTTGTTTTTGGGTTCTATATATTTAATATTTAGCTTCCTTTTCCGTACTTTTGGGGTTTTATGAGTTTGTTGCTATACATAGAAGACATTGTCTAGGACGGTTATCCATTGTTTTTATGTTTTGTTTAAGTAAGAGTTTTACGGCACTTGCAACACGATAAGGTCATATAAGTGCCGAAAATTAGAGGTGTTACAAGAGAGTAACAAACACAAAATAGAAGGAAGGGAGATAAGGACGATAGATGTTTGACAGGAAAAAAGGAGCCAACCAAACCAGAGCACGCGCCAACCACCCACTATCCATTGTTCAAAGAATGGTCGTTTTAGTTTTAGACAGGTAGACGTCTTTCACAGTTTCATTATGACGTACCCCCCCCCCCCCTTAAACAAACAGAACAAAAACAAACAAATAAACAAACATAAAGAGGAGGGTAGGGTGGGAAGTGGCTGTTTGTACAGGTGATTGTCGATTATCTTATTCAGGTGGCCGAAAGAGCAGGTTCAACTACTATAACTTTTGTATGCCACGTCGGTTTGAGGTTTGTTTGAGCAAAGAGAAGCACATCAACCCAATAATGGTGTTTAATTCAGCGGAGAAGAACCTAACAGTTGAGCCCTCCATCCACCCACAAACTTATAGTTTGGTTTCCATAAAAAAGTTTTTCGACATTTGAAACTCAAAAAGGTCATATTATAAGCGCCGAAGAAATGAAGTGTTCCTAGAGAGTAACATTCAAAGAAAAAAAGGAGAGGAGATAATGATGATGGATCTTTGATCGAAATTTATTTATTTATTTATATATTTATTTATTTTTTTCTTTTATTTATTTATTTATTTTATTTTTTATTTATATTATTTTTTAAATTATTTATTTATTTATTTATTTATTTACTTATTTATTATTACTATTAAAAAAAAATTATTTTTTTTTTTGGGGGGGGGGGGGGGCTCGTGGCCTAGAGGTTATGGTGTACGCCTCTCATTCAATAGGTCGCGAGTTTGAAACTTAATATCGACGGACATTTTTCTTCTCTTAAATTGCCTCTTTTCACCTCTTTTCTTGCTTAATTAGAGAACTACATTTTTTTGTACATGTATGTAATGTCTTCTGCATTCGTCTCCACTTTCTGCTCCCACCTTTGCCCCGTCTTCTGGGCTCCTGACTCTTTCTGCTGCTTTTTTTTTTACTGCTGTCTTATGGTTAGTACGATCTGGCACTTAGCCTTCTAGAATAAGAGCGAAACATATGGGAGGTTCCGTGTGCAAGTTGGGAAGGTTCAGGATCCCCTAGTGGTCCTAAAGTCGATATGAATAGGCTCCGACCGCTACGTGGACACAATTCAAAATTCCTACCAAACTGAAAACGTTTCTGTTTCATGTGTCCGCACGCTTGTATGACCTTATGTAGTTGCGAGCGCCGTAAAACATCAAAATTTAATTTTAAATAAACAAATTTTAAAAAATCAAAAACGGAAAAAGATGTTTGATAGGAGGAAGGAGCAAACCACACGAGCGCCCAGCAACCACCAACACAGACAGACACAATAGAGATGAGACAGCAGCACGGTATGGCTTACAAATGGTGCCTTGTAATTCCACGATCATGCGAACGACACCTTCATCACCACCCACCACCGGAAGGACTTCCGTAACGAGCCACCAAAAAACAATTTTAAAAAAAGAGACCAAACCCTATCCCTGATCCAATCCCCTAACCCTGCCCTTACCCCTATCCCTGCCTAAAACACTAACCGCTAACCCTCTGTTCTACTGTTTCATAGTGGTCACTCGTAACAGAATTCCTCCCACCAATAATGATGCCAACAACATAAACAATGGAAACAAAGATAACCCAAACGACGACAACACCACGACCACCACCGCAAAAACAACATCAGTGACCAGGATAACAAGGACACAACGAACACCAACACCACCACCATCACCACCATCACCACCACCACCGCAATCACCACCGCCCATCATAAACATTAACGACGATATTAGAACTACGAACGACGAAAAAATAGACAACAGTTGCAACAACAATGCGACGACGATGACATCTACACC